ACACTACAATTATTCATAGCACAGTTAGGAACCATACGGTAATATAGCAAGTTCGCGACAAGTCACACATAGCTGCATGGACCTAAAATATCTGGCCTGACACTAGGTAAGCCAGACATATAGACTCACGAAGGCCATATACGAGCATTAAATGTATTTGTAAATCTTCAAAAAAGCCTCGAAACAGCGTACGTACTCCGAGCTCGAATCGATTCTGATACGTTGCTGCAACCTCTGGCGCTACGCATATTGTGACGATAGCGTCTCGGGTAAATTCACGTGGTAAGTATTAAAGCTCATATACAGAATAGAACCAACTAAACACTGTTCAATACTGAAGTACAGAGCATCTTCGATCGAAGCACGCCTGATGCCGTACTTACCGTTTCAACTACAAGCGAATTTTTAGCGGAGGGAACTTTCGCAATGTGTCGATACGCTCGTATTTATGCGTACAGCTGAAGTAGTCGCAGTCACGAGGATATTTAGAATAACAGGAGCAAATGTACATGATTTGTTCACATGAAAATTGACAGTCGTTTCGTTTGACGTAAATTATGAAGTTTACGGAAAGTTTTGAGCAGCAAACAGACGGCCTACAGCCGGCTAGAAAACGCAATAGTTCTTGCGTTGACAAATACCTCTTTACACGTATTACAATGCTCAATCCTGGATATAATAAACAATTCTAATTTCTCGAGAGAATTCCTGCATTTGGCTAAAAGACGATCAAACTTCACCAGGGCTTCACCAAGATCATCCCGTATTCACGATGTGGCCTAAGGGAAGATCAGCGAAGCCAACTGTGAGGCTTGGCATCCCTCTCTAGCTGTATACAATTTCGATACCGTAAAACGAATAATATTTCTTCAGATCTTCAAAACCTTCCATACCTTTTAGAGTAACCGTCCGGATATAATCAAGTATCTTTCCCTTGCAGTTTCTGACCTTCGGGATGGGTAGTAAAATCACGGGCGCCTATGTCGAAGCTAAGACGAAAGTGTAACCGGGAAGAAGTTGAGCAATTTGGAAAGAAATCGATGCCCTCTAGCCCACCCTAGGGCAGATGGGCTAAAGCTATTTTCTGGAACCTCTCAGTAATGCAATCTGGAAACCGAGTTATAGTATAATAAAAATACATGGCACTGGCCGGCACGCGTTCTTCATTTTCTAATACCATTTTGTCCGGCAGCTCTGTTTCGGCTGTTTTGATTTGAATCGACAAAAATCGATTTGAATTGGTTCTTTCAGAAATAGGTCAAATCTCTGGTAGATAAAAATCTGTCTGCGGCCAAGTCTCTGCTTCCAATATTTCGCGCAACTTCTCCGGATGAAACTTGGTTTGGAAAATTAAATTTCATAGGAGCATGCTGCTCCTTTCTCGTTATCTACCGAAAAGTCAAGGAACACCGTCTCATACTTTTGTTTCCCAATTCAAAATTAGCCTAAGAGCGTCATTCGATTTCATTGATACTTAACCACTAGACCAGGGGGCGGATAGCTTTTCTAATGAAAATCTATTTAATAAAAAAGCCCAATTAGTTTTGCGTGCATTTGGAAATTTGTTTAGCAGATTTTCGGCGTTGAAATTTGCTTTTATAACACTAGCTTATGATTCTCGTAGGGAGTAATCAGAAAAACTAGTAGTAAATTGTTCAGCGTCCAGACAGAGAAAAGTATGACTGTTTTGCAGAGTTAACGTCTAGCTCAGTCGTGTAACAACATTTAGACTGACGAAACTCGGCCGAAAATTGTTGCGAATTACCAGCTGAAAATATGAAATGGTAGTATTTGAAGATGATGCAAGTGATCATGGTACTTTCGGTCCCCAGGACCGTAAAAATGGCGTTAGTTTTTTTATCCGCCGATTCTGCAACGTAATTATCTGAACTACTAATTAGATAGATATCTAATCCAAACTCAACTACGGACAACACTTGTTCCCGACAACTATTAAATAGTTATGTGTTAATTAGGAATATAACAATCTCATTTGTTTGCTAGAAAAAAAAAAAAAAAAACGCTTTAATATTTACGCCACAAGAAGAAAATCATCATAAACAAAGAACGAGACACAATGGCTATAAACTCGAAAAAAACAAATTGTAAATTGCTAAATAGTCCTTTCCGCCCTGTCGATTATGCATCATTGAGCTAGAGGAACTAGCGACTTCCGAACTTTGCGTCTAGAAATAGCTTATACATAAATAAGCTAGCACTAAAAATGGCTTCAAAAGCCATTCTAGAAAATCATATATGATGGTTTGAGTGGTGGAATGAGATTGTTGAAATAGAAAGTGCCGAGAGCGTGTAACAGGGAAAAATCAGAATCATCATTCCGAAATTATTAGCAATAAACATTAAATTACTACCAAGAAGCCTGTTACACATTATCGAACCAGTAATATTTGTTTGTAATTGTCTTTCATAATGCAGTATGCAGAATATTTGAGAGAGCGAGCGAGCGAGAGCGCGCGAGAGAGAGAGGGAGATGAGAGGGGTAGAGAAGGAGAGGGTGACAAAGGGGGGAGAAGGAGGTAGATGGGGGATGGAAAGAGAGAGAGGGGGAGATAGCGAGAAATGGGGGGTAGAGAGAAGAGGAGATAGAGATAGAGAGAGAGAGAGAGAGAGAGGGCGCGCGAGAGAGGGATAGAGAGAGAGAGAGAGAGAGAGAGAGAGAGAGAGAGAGAGAGAGAGAGAGAGAGAGAGATGCAAGAGTAAGCTGGAGAAATGACAAAGTATTAATAATAACGAGTAGGAACTGATTTCGAAAATCAATGGAAGAGATATTATGTGTTAGGTAAACTTTCATATCTGATGCTTGTGTTGGGCCGAACCATCGATAACTTATAACAGTGAACTTGTTCCACTATATATTAAGATCAATTTTTTTTTACTGAAGAGTCCCAGGAAGAGCTATCTCCAGGTAGGTTTTGAGAGCGTCTTCCTTGACAATCAAGCGGTAAATGTTATAATTCTTTTGTCCTTATACAATACGTCTGGACGGGGTATAGGGCGCATATGCATATATTTGTAACGCAGAGCAGTTCTAAACATATTGAAAACGCAAATTGACAAAGCACTACCCCTTAGGTGGGGGGGCCGAGCACAGCTCCGACGTCCTTCCTAGTGAACAGCAAAAGGCTAAACTGCGAGTCGAAAATGATGAATTGAATTCTTTTATTACAGTTACGTCTTCGCTGTACATCTAAATGCGAGAGATGCTAATTACCTATTGAATGCTCAATTTTCCGCACCTTACTCGTTACCAATTACATACGAATTATAAAAATTCGTCAACATTTAGACGGTAAATGGCCGGCCCATATTAGAACAAGATATGCTTCAAATAGAAGCGTTTCGAGTGAAACATAAAACTTTAGTCGTATAGATGACATGGTCATAGCAACGAACAGTAAGTGATATTTAAACTAAAAAAACTAGACGATGATACCAGCCAACCGGAGTGAATATTGATTGAGAACGATTTGATATAATACGGGGGTAAATAAAATGCCACTTTTACGGCGATCTACATTTTACTATTAAGTGAAGTCTATCTGAGCAGTAACACGAAAGGGACATGATTGTCCTCCAACGCCAGATGCAACGTATTTCGTAACTTTCATTTTAGGTTGTAACATTTTTGCTTGGGTTTCCTCGCCGGACGACCCACCTTTGTCGGATTAGAAGCACCTTTCAAGCATCTTGAATCTAAAATTCTGAAGGCAGATGTGATGATACTGTGCGTATGTGCAGTCCCTACGTTCTTCACTGGTAAATTAAGCGATTTGGGCTGTACATCGGATGCTGTTTTAGAGTCTGTCTAAAAATAAGATACCTTGAAGGGATCAGTACGAATCTAGGAAGTTAAGATCACTCACGTTACGTTAAAAGACAGAATATATACAT